TTGTGGAGTTTTGGACCAACTTAAGAGTGAGTTAGAGAGAGTGAGAGAGGGCCATGTATTAGAGAATCCATCCACGACAAAGTTTGAGAAGGCCGATGGTGTACTATGAATTGACAGGCAACAGTTAATGACCCAAACATCCACAATTTTTAATGGCAGATTGCAAGTATTTTATAATGGGACATTTTTTGTTCCCTTGTTTTTGCGGTAACAGCTAACAGCTAAGCGACTTATAACACTAATTTCGTAACAAATTTTTTTCTTATTATTCAATACTTATTATAAAACAAATAAATATAATAAATAATTAATAATTAGTAATATTATTCTTGAATACTTTATTTCATCTTTATTGCAAGGTAAAATTTAATAGAAAAATGAATTTCATTTTATAAGATAACTAGAGTGAGTTAAGTGTGTAATGGATACGAATTAAATTTATAATTTATAACTTTTTATATTATTGATAAATATAGCTGTCAATTTTTTTTATAAATACGTGTTAGTACATATATTTTAAAAATAATAATAATATTAGCATATATATTTTTATATTTGTACATTGTGATACCCTTACTATCCCCAACACATACATTGTAATAATGTAAATAAATTAAAGAAATAAATTTTTTAACATTGGTAAAATGGTCTACATAAAAACCTTCATAAATATTCTTCAATATCTAAAATAATTGAAAATAAAAGTTAGAAAATAAAACATAAGAGTTTACAAATTATTTTCAAAATAATAAGTATAACTCCAAATACATATAACAATCCATGTCCTATAAATCCTCTACCTCGATGTCACAATATCAAAGCACACCCACAACTCAACTATTGGCATTCTAGATGTCACTTATAGCCGGATTTTCTTCACCTAAAATATTCACAAATTGTACGGTGAGAAAAGAAAAAATTTATATGTAAAGCACATACAAACACACCACAATGTAATATCATCATAACTCATTACATAAAGAAATATTTACAACCATTTCTATATATCATAATTCTATCAATCATGCATCATCTTTACATCACAATTCTCAATCACACCAATCCATCACATCAAATAATTTGTACTATGTTACGCTCATGCCACCCCTGTAGCATCTCGTGCCCAAGGTCATGCCACGCCAACATAAGTACTAATTGTCACACACAAATCTTGAAATTAACACTATGCCATGCTCATGCCACCTTTGTAGCATCTCTTGCCCAAGGTCGTGCCACGCCGACATACGTGTTAATTGTCTCACACATCCCACATTATGCCATGCTCGCGCCACTGCTGTAGCATCTCTTGCCCAAGGTCGTGCCACACCGACATAAGTGTGAGGAACCACAATCATATCACATTCACATTCAACACAACATTTCATTTCGTGCCAACATACTCACATCATAATTAATTGAACAATTAAGCCATAACGTAGCATTCGCCACATCATGCTATCAATTCAATACTAAAATGGTACATACAATATGTATACATTTGTGCCAATACATCACACAACAGTCCATAACTCAATTCCACATCACAAACACAATATGGATAAGTACACAAAAAACAGTGGTTCACATACCCCTTAAGCAATTCACCATGAATCCACATCTCATCATTATACATATATGAAATAACTCTACAACCTAGGGTCATACTACTTTACACAACTTTTCAATTCACATGATAACACCTTAGAACATCAAAACAACATACGTCTCCCTTTGAAAACTATCAAAGAAAACAACACACAGAGTTATACCCATCCAAATAAGCTCCAACCTATCTCAAAAGAAATATAAGAGGATCATATACAACTCTTATGTAGACATTGAATTCTAAAAAAATCATCTACTTAGCTAAAAATGTCAAAAACCACAATAGATATAATTCACGCTGACAGCTTGACCCCTGTTCACTAAAATAGTCATATCTAGAGTTCTAGACATTATTTTTTAGTGATTCCAAAGCCATTAAAAATATCACACCCAAAGATACCACTTTTGGAACATGAAGCCTAAAAATGTCTTTATGGTCACCTCGCATGGCTGACAACATTAAACTTAATCTTTCGTGCACTGGAATGGAGACTAAACTTATAAGTCGCATAACTCAATCAATTCTTAATCTTTTTGAAGTTAGCAGAAAAACACATAGAAGGGGGGTTGAATACGTGTGAGTGTAAACAAAGTAATTTTTAAAAACATTTTCGCAGAGGACTCATTTTCGTCCAGTAAAAATATTATTTTGAATGCTTAACAAAAAATGTGCAAGCTTGGTTCAACAAAAGATTCTTGCATTTGAGAGTTTATCGTTTGCACAGAGAAAATGCTTCTTAAACAAAAATTGTTCTTTAAGATAATAAATCAAACAAGTGTGCTTTTCGTCTAAAGAAAGTTGTAATGAACGATAATCATTGGACGAAGTTTGATGGAATAATACTAAGGCCGAGAAGACCAAGAGGTGATATATTAAAGGAGGCAAGAGGAATGGGTTAGTGAGGCCACTTTTGGACCTTAGCTCCTAAGTTCTTTTTAATCATAGAATTTATTTTACTTGTATTTCCAAATTTACCCTAGTATTTTGGGGTGTTTAGAACTTAGATTTATTTTCCCTTGTATTTCCCTTTTTACCCTTGTATTATGGGGTGCTCAAGATGATTAGGGTTTTTAATTTTGGGCTAGGGTGTTAACTAGAAGGGTGACACATTTTTTTGGTGTTCATTGGATCTATTTTTGGTGTTAGAAAGGCTTAGGCCCAAGTGGAGGGCAAAGGTTGCATGGTCTTATCATGCACCTAGATATAGCCAATCTAAACCCAAAGATTCCATCCTTGGCCACCAAGTTGCATCTAGGGTTCATTTGCATTTCATTTGGAATGCATTTGCCTACTCCAAATGCAACCCTAGATGCCTCCCCTCCTATAAATACCCAACACCCCACACCTTGTAAATACTTTGGA